TAACTAATACGCCACATTCCTGCGTCTGCGGCTTGTGTTTTAGTAAATTAAATACGCTTGGGAATCATAATTAATATTCCATATTCCTGCGTCTGGGGCTTGTGTTTAGTAAATTAAATACGCTGGAGAATTATGATTAATACTCCATATTCCTGCGTCTGCGTCTTGTGTTTTAGTAAATTAAATACGCTGGGGAATCGTAATTAATATTCCATATTCCTGCGTCTGCGGCTTGTGTTTTAGTAAATTAAATACGCTTGGGAATCATAATTAATACTCCATATTCCTACGTCTGCGGCATGTGTTTTAGTAAATTAAATACGCTGGGGAATCATAATTAATACTCCATATTCCTGCGGCTAGTGTTTTTTTTTTGTAAATTAAATACGCTGGGGAATCATAACTAATTCTTGTAATGGAGGAATGGAAGTATGGGCAATATTTAATCAATGTAATGGCTGGATCACCATGTAATGGAACTTCTTTATCAATGGAACTAGTGTGATATGTTAGCCCGTTCAGATGTAGACAGGATCGTCAGGTAAAATGAGACGTAATACTTGTCTTGTAAGTGCGTGTAATTATCCCTGCCTGATACGAGCATGCATCAAAAACCTACTGATGCAATCAAGAACAAGTTATCAAGCGGCTTGTTACCGCTGGTACCTAGGCCAGTGTTACTTGGCCAGAAGGAGTGAGAATAAATTCAACAACGCATATATTTCTGCAGTCATAAGTATATTCTTGATTTTATTGAACAATAGTTTGGGTATTTATACATTTTTCTAGATTATAGCGATCTCATGACTCCGCCTCTTTATTCCAGACAAAACCTGGAAAAGTATAACCGCAGCCAATCAAAGTGATTGCTGACCTTGCAGAATGCATTGCATAGCGACTACACTGTTTGCTCATTTAGGTCAAACGTCAAAGTTATTATTAGAGTGCATTGACAATATTGCTTGCACATGTCTTTTGCAATATAGGAAATATTATTATTGAAAATATTGTAACATGTGTTCAGCAATTGGAACAGCGTGTGGCAATACTTTCGTTGGTAATACGAAACTCTTTTGTTTATGTCGCTTTGCTTATGCTTCTTGTACGGTATGCATGAAGTGCAACCAATTCATAAATCTGCTTATTATTATTATTTATGAGTAATGTTAAGTGGCTAAGAAGTAAGTGAGGTAGGTCCACTACACCCTTGCCCTTGAGAAAAACTTATTACGTGAAAAATGAACGGAATATTTCATTTTTTACATACACCATATCTCCAATTTCGAAATTAGATTTGTTTATATTTTTGTCATATTCTTGTTTTCTTTTTATTTTTACTGTATTTATTAATTTTCTGGCCTTTGAAATTGAATTTTTTAGGCGAATATGCAATTCGTTTGCATAATTTTCAATGTCATAGCATTTGTTTACTTTATTTATATTGTCGCTTGGTAGCGATGGTAATTTACCATATACCAGCTCATAAGGTGAATAACCAGTGTCTATGTGAGGTGTTGTGTTATATGCGAATGTGTAATATGGTATCCATTCGTAATCGTCAGCAAAAGTAAGTAAATATTCGTTTAGTTTTCTGTGGTTTCGTTCTAGTGACCCAATTGTTTGATGATGATACGGAGTTGAAAATATTTGCTTTGTATTTAGTAATGTGCATACATTGTGCATTAGTTCATTAATAAATTCTGTCCCTCTGTCAGATCTTAATGTTTGTATGAAACCATATTTAAGAATGAGTTGTTCAACTAGTGTAGTTGCAATGGTTTTTGCATCTTTAGTTTCGATTGGATGTGCTATAACGAATTTTGATAAATCGCATTGCATCGTTAATATGTATCTGTAGCCGTTCGAGATACGAAGTGGGCCTACTGTGTCGATTGAGACTGTACTGAATGTTGAAGTTGGTGTATCTGTCACTACAAGCGGTTCTTTAATGTGTTTTATTGTTTTATTCTGTGCGCATTTTGTGCAATTGTTGATAAATTCTTTAACCGTTTGCCGCATATTTTTCCATATATATCTTTGTTTTGATTTTAAAATTGTTTTCCTAACACCTAAATGACCTGATATGTTGGAAGTATGGAATTCATCTATTAATTTGTATTTAAGTATCGCACTATTTATTTCTTTTGGAGCTTTATATATTAAAATTCTTATTGGCGCGCTTTCATTTTCTTTGAGCTCATTATATTTATTCTTGAATGCATTCATATTAATATTTTTAAATATATATTCTTGTTCACAAAGAGCTAGCTCCTTTATATGTGAATTATGCATAGTACTATGTAGTTTCTCCAACATTGAATCTAGTTTCAAAGGGTCATCGCTACATGTAACTTGCACTTCATTTATAATTATTTCAATTGTAGTACTACTTTCTTTATCAATTTTAAATTTTAATTTCTTTAAATTTTTACCGTCTGTTCAATAAGTCGTTTCTTATTGAAACTGAATCGACACTTGAATCGATTCAGTGTTGCTTATGGTTAGGAATCTGGCACTTGAACCAGTTCCTATTGCAAGGTCTGAATTTGGCACTTAAACCAACTTCAGGTGGATTCAAACAATAACAATATTTTTTGAGCAACTAGGCACTTGAACCTATTTGCAATTGAGTTTTAATAAGCACTTGAACTAATTAAAACGCAAGGGCTGTTCTGTATTGAATGAATGAATTTATTACAAAATATTGTGTTTTTATACAAAATGCTTAACACTAAGCTTATGGTAAAAGAGCAAATGCACCTAGTTCCCACGATTTGTTATCTGATGGACTTTGAACATTCAAGGCCAAGGGCACTCGTGGAAAATATGTGCATTTCCTATGCTTATACAATTTGATGCAGTCAGCAAGCTGGTATATGTATTTTGCCATATACCAACTTGCTTCACAAATTTGGTGACTTAAATGTGTTATCACTTGTGCCATGCGCCAACTCATATTGCACCTGTGGGAACAACAGAATTGTCGCAGCGGCTTGCCTATTGCTGCAACTCACAACGACCACACGATAAAAGAAAACGAACATGCTGCCTATCAACCTTGCACAGTGGCGTGTGAAGATCATCATGTTACGTCTGGCACGCTGACAGCGTGCGAATATTTAGTTGTGAGAGCCAGCAACATTGCTAAAATATTTGATAACACAACTAAACCCAACAACCAAAACAACATAAGACACTAATTTAAAATACTTATTTATACATATACTGAATACAATAATACAAATAATACAAATATTAATACAAATACAATGCAAATAATTATTTTAATTGATATTTATTTATACTAAAAATTAATATAAGCTTAACATTTATGTCCAAATTGGACATTCTGCCCCCGTTGACGCCAGTCAATCCTCTTCTGCTACTTCGACCTCGGACATTGCATGTTGCTCTTGAACTCGTCTTCGTGGTTGTGGGTGGGGTGTACCAATCCTGTGACGGTGTGTATTTCTTCGGAATAAATATCGACCGATTATACTGCAGAGTATGAGCACACTGAGACCAAGTGCCATATATTCCAGAATGAAATGGTGTTGGTGCTGCGATAGTGTATTGTTCGGCAGTTCTTCCTGAGACCTTATCATATTTAAAGATGACTTTAAACTAGTTATTTCATCGTTAGCTGTCTCCATGCTGATGTTTTTCAACTTTAGAGATGATTGCCGAGGAATCGCTGTCACTATTGGGCTTGAATGGAAGCTTGTGTGGGAATATTTTAAGCGAGTAGTCATTGTGTAATGGCTGGTTATTGTTGCCGTATGATGTGAGAGTATGCACCCTGGTGGGAGCTCAAGTAAACCTGTATTTTGCAATTTCACCTGAGAATGCTCATTGTCACATACTGCGTTTAGCTTTACAGGGTTTCTTGCGACGAACATCCATTGATTTTGTGCAACAGCCTGGATCCATAAGGTATTACTTGTGAAACTTTGCCAAGTGCAAGATGATGTACTATTATTAAATAGATTTACTTCGCAAGTGCACTTGCCTGATTCAAGAGAATATATTTCTTGTGTATCTGAACAGATGAAGACATCATTTTTTGAAGACACACATTGTGCCAACTGTATTTCTGAAATCGGAAAGTACCCATTCCTATGAGTATTGAATGCCATCATAGACGTGCATGGTGTGATTGTCACGTATTCTCCGTTTATGATCCCTGGAACGGGAATAACAACGAATAAATCAAAGGACTGATCATTGATTAGTGGTAGAGTTATTTGAAACAACATTTTGGTATCAAATAAACCGCTGCTGACTGTCATAAGAGAATATAGCTCAGAAATGTTACTCATGTTAACCGGCAACTGCATTGTTGACCTGAGATGTTCCCTCATTGTAGTAACCTCATTCATGAGTTGCTTTGGCGTCAGGAGAAGTGGACTGATTTTACCATGATTTGTGTCGGTCAACACTCCTAAAATTGCTGATTCGTAAAATTGAATACTTGTTGTTACACTTAGTAGTTGAGTTGAAATTGCAGTGAAAAGTTGGTGGAGTATTAATTTTTAAATTTCCTTGTCCTCTTCTAACATTTTTGCCTTTACATCGTTCAATCGCTCGACTGTTAATTCAAAGGTTGTTTGATACTGCTGCTGATTTCGTTTTATGATATTTAGAGTAGAATCTAAAATTGAAGTTTGGTTTTTTAAAAGGTTAAGCAAATGTTTGTCGTCATTTTTTAGTTGTTGAATCGTCTGCGCCATATTTTTAGCGTATTCT